CTTTTTTTTTTTAAGTAGTCTCTGCACTGAACAAGGGCTCGAACTCATGACCCTGAGATCAAGAGTCACGTGCTCTTCTGACTGAGCCAGCCAGGTGCCCCTCTAGTAAACATTTTTAATGTAGCCTTGAACACCAAAATTGGTCATCAATGTTGATAGCATATGTCAGTACTTTCTTGTTAATTGCCAAACAATATTCCACCATGTAGATACACCACATTTTATTTACCCGTTCATCAGTTGATAGACATGTGAGCATTTATAACTAATGCTGCTATCCACATTTGTGTGCAAATGTACATGAATGTACGAAAAACAGGCTTGTGCTATTAACTCTTTTTTTTTTTTTTTTTTTTTTTTTTTTTTTTTTTTTTTTTTTTTTTTTTAAATTTTTTTTTCAACATTTATTTATTTTTGGGACAGAGAGAGACAGAGCATGAACGGGGTAGGGGCAGAGAGAGAGGGAGACACAGAATCGGAAACAGGCTCCAGGCTCCGAGCCATCAGCCCAGAGCCCGACGCGGGGCTCGAACTCACGGACCGCGAGATCGTGACCTGGCTGAAGTCGGACGCTTAACTGACTGCGCCACCCAGGCGCCCCAACTCTTAATTAGTTATCCATTGAATGTTGATTTTTAGCACAATAATAAAATTTTGAATATGCTCTTGGTGGCTTTAAGAAGCTGCTATAAGGGAAAAAGAGGAGTAGGCAGACTATTAGAACTCTAGGCACTCCTCAGCATCTCTGGAGAAACTTTGTCTTAGGATTGTATAACCTTGCCCATGTTATTTTTGTATGAAACCAAAATAGCGTCAGAATCCAAGCCTGTGATCTCATATCGTAGTGCCTTCTGAGAAAACTCCATCCCTGAGTCCAAGAGCCGTGGAGTGCTGGGTTGCAATGGACAGAGGTTGGAGAGGTAGTTTTTCTCTCCCTGTAATTGCTGCCCATGGTTAGCACTGCTGCATTTATACCGGACCCTGATTCCCTCACTCCTCTGACTCCCCTTTTCCTGGAGGGGATGCATATAGCAGTATTGCATTAGAGATTTAGAATATGAAGCAGAAAGGGCTGTATTTTCACATGGGAAAAGTAGTAACTTAAACCAAAAACATCCCTGCCCACATGTCCTTGAGCCAGTCCCCAACCCCAGGCAGTTCCTCCCTGTACTTAGGCCTTGATGTGACTCCATTTTCACAGGCCCTTCATTTTTCTTTCCAAGGCTCCAACTGGCTATGTTTACAAGTGAAATGGTGAAGATTTTTAATCTTGGATTGTATGCATGTAACATTTCACGTAACTCATATTTTATATTATTCTACTCAACTATAAAAGGGACATGGGCTTTATGGTGATAAGTCCAGACTAAATGCCAAGAGTTGTATGCTCTTCTGCTGCCTCAGCATAACCTTCACAATGACTTCCCCATAACACAGGGATTATAATTAGTGACTGTTTCAAAGGATGCTGTGAGAGTTCATGAAAACCTGTCTCGCATTTCATCCCACTTGGAAATAGTCACATTATAGTATATGGCTATTACACTGTTTCTGCAGTAGCCACTCATTTTTTCCAGTTACTTCCTTAATTCAGCATCTTAAGTAGCAGTGGCAGAGGTGAGGACAGCTTCCCAGTAGACAGTGGAGTGGGCAGGGCTGATAAGTGTTGCACAAGGATATGGACATGCTGTGATGCTGGCAAACAGAATATAAAAGTATGTATGGAAAGTCCTGTTGCTGCTTTTCAGCATGGGTAGACTATACAGATCACTTGTTCTTTTTTCTGGTTAGAGCTGGTAGAACACAGACTTCATCTGGATCAGTCACGTACAGAGTGGTTGGCAAGTGCCCAGGGGTATGTCTGTCTTGGGGGGCATGCCTTCCATTAAAGCAATACTGCCAACTCCTGTCTACTTTTTAGGTCTCTTTGACAGCCCCCCAGGGTCAGATGACGCAAAGCTCATTGATATATTTTATCCCGGAGATCAGCAGTCTGTGACCTTTGGAACCAAGTCAAGAGTAGGCATGGGTGGCATGGAAGCCAAGGTAAGGGTCTGATGCTGTTACTGCCTATAACAGCTAAAAAAACCAAACAATATTTTACCCTTTTTGCTTTTTTTTTAAGTTTTATTTATTTAAGTAATCTCTACACCCAACATGGGGCTAGAACCCACGACCCTCAGATCAAAAGCTGCACACTTCTCCGACTGAGCCAGCCAGGTGCCCCTACCCTTTTGACTTTTGTGATTGTTTGGGGGCTAATGGCTAAAATACGAGGCACATACACACTTAAATGTGCACATCTCTAAATACAGGTATAATGCATATTGTGTACCTATATTTTGTCATGTCTGTATATGTATTCTCTTATATTACATAGTGTGTTCATGTTATAAAGTCGTCAAGGGCAGGCTCCCTCTCTCCCTCTCCCTCTATATATAATTTTTTTTTTTTAAGTTTATTCTGAGAGAGTGACAGCACGAGTAGGGGAGGGGCAGAGAGGGAGGGAGACATAGAATCTGAAGCAGACTCCACGCTCTGAGCTGTCAGCACAGAGCCCAACGTGGGGCTTCAACCCACGAGCTGTGGGATCATGACCTGAGCCAAAGTTGGACGCTTAGCTGACTGAGCCACCCAGGCACCCCCTACTTTAAAGATTTTCTTAAATTTTTTTTTAAGTTTATTTATTTTGAGACTGAGAATGTGAGTGGGGTAGTGGCAGAGAGAAGGGAGAGAGAGCATCCCAAGCAGGCTCCGCACTGTCAGTGCAGAAAGCCTGATGCAGGGCTTGGAACTCACAAACTGTGAGATCATGACCTGAGCTGAGATCATAAGTCAGGTGCTTAATGGACTGAGCCACCCAGGGACCCCAAGATTTTTTATTTTTTTTAAGTAATCTTTACACCCAACATGGGGCTCGAACTCACAACCCTGAGATCAAGAGTCACATGCTCTATTGAGGAAGCCAGCCAGGTGCCCCCACTCAACTATTTCTTACGAAATCTTCCAAAAATTTTTCTCTCTCATTAATTGTTCTAAAAAGTAATACTCTTAAGATACAGCATCAATTGTAGGAATGGCAAAGACCTACAAAAGAGATCTACAAAAGTTAAAAGAACTCAGGATCAGATTCTGGTTAAACACCAGGCTGGACACTATGTCGAGGCACAGTAAGTCAAATGTAGAAGTTATGAGTCCTAGTACTAGAGAGTCTTTGAACACTGAGCACAAAAGGCAGATTGGCTCATCTTTAGCACGTGCCAGATTTGGGCTGGAGAGAGAGAGAGCAAGGGCTGAGTGTGTTTTCAGAGCTTCTGAGTTGTTCAAAACATTCCTGCATATACTTCAATTGCTCACTATCACATTGTATTCTCTTTTTGCGAGTTTAAAGTATGGATGACTAGACCCTGCAAAAGTCTGAATGTTATGTTGGGATCTAACCTCTCCTATTAGGTGAAAGCGGCCCTCTGGGCTTTGCAAGGTGGCACTTCTGTGGTTATTGCCAACGGAACCCACCCAAAGGTGTCTGGACATGTCATCACAGACATTGTGGAGGGAAAGAAAGTTGGCACCTTCTTTTCTGAAGTAAAGCCTGCAGGTAAGTAGTTCCTCATTGAGTAGTCACACCATGGCCTAAATGAGACCGAAGATTGAGCTCTCCTCTAGGAGTAGAGATCACAAAATTGACGTGTTGATATTCTGAAGTACGGTATTGTTTCAGACACTCTTTGCAAAATTGGACTTTGCTTTGCTTTTGTAAAGTTTAGCGAACCTGCCCAACGAGGCTTCCCATTCTCTCTAAAACCACTATGTTAAAGAATATGAGCATCCATTCTCTTAAGAAACATTTGCTAGACCTATGCTAGAGGCCTAGAAATGCAAAGACACTTAAGACAGTAAGACATGGTATGTACTCTCAATTGTTTGCAAAGATACTGCCATATAACCTACATTCAGAAATGCCAACACATTAGAGAATATAAGCTAAAGTGGAATTGAAAAGAACTCTACGAGATGTAACTTACCCCAGAAATATAGACAAGTTTCTTGTGTTTATGCCTGAGTTAATCTAGTGTATTCTTTTGCCATTTTATTTGTCTGAGTGACCTCTAGGAAGCAAGCACACCACGTTATGAGTCTGTGCACGTGCTGGGTTGCTGTCCATGATCTGATGTTTGCAAATATTCTTACAGGTCCTACCGTTGAACAGCAGGGAGAAATGGCTCGAGCAGGAGGAAGGATGTTGGCCACTTTGGAACCTGAGCAGGTAATAACCTTTGCTAATAGTTTGGTTGGTTTTCAGACTGAGTCATGCTGTGAGGATTAGTGCACAGTCAAGGCTGCCATGTCCCCCTCCATTCCTCTTGTCCCCACAGAGTTATTCTAGTTACAAGTGAGATTCAGATTTGTTCTGCCTTTTCTCTCTCTAAATTTTATTTTCCCTTTTGTCTTTTGTAGTCTGTGGCCTAAGGTAGCTTTTTATCACTATGTTTTGATCAAAAACATCATGAACATGGTGAGACCAAGGAGATTTCCTAAGCCTGCCACATACTGGACATGGAAATGTAGGAAAACTGCTTATTCTAACACATCTGAGTCCCCTGACTTACCCATTAGATGGAAGCTCCAGAGCCTGCCCTCTAGTCAGAGCCTGCCCACAGTGAAGTGGCAGACACTGCAGGTCTGGAAACAAGGCAGTCACGGAAGCTGGGGATTGGCTTCTCAAAGCCTGTGTTGTTAAGGATGTTGTGTTTAGATTTTTTTCTAGGGAGCACTTTGGCCTGAGAAAAAAGAAAACTTTAAATAACTACAAGTAGAGAAAGGAAAGCAAAGGAAGAGCTTAGCCTCTCTCTCTAAACCACTTCCCTTGGCTTCTTCAGTGATCACACTGATTTGCCACACTTTTTAACCTAGGTGGGTAAGGATTGAGATCCCTTCAAGCATCCAGGACTGGGTTTTCCCCTTTGAGTGAATTCATTAAGTAAGTAATTGTCAAAATTGTCAAAATAAGTAATTGTCAAAATTCACTTAATAAATTATATAGCCAGTGAAACTGAGTATGCAGAGATGTATGTATCATGCCAATTCAAAATGCTAGCCCCCATCTTGGGTTTGGGGACTGATTGTATAATTCATTGTGCCTTTTCCCCACTACTGGGCCGTGGTCTGCTAATCATAATAATCAGGAATGGTAAAAGAGGAAGAAATACAAGAAGTAGAAGGAGATTAGTAGTGAGAGAGGAAGGAAAAAATGAGGGGAGCTGAGGTGTGTAATGGTTGATAGGATGTAAGGAGATTTCAGTCAATGATGACTTTGCATTTAGGAGCAAGGCCTGGCTCATTCAGAGGAGTAGGTTTAATGGTATGGGTTCTTCTCGGATTAATGTATTTGCTTGTTTGTTTTACCTTTCTTCCTAGAGAGCAGAGATTATCCATCATCTGGCTGATCTGTTGACGGACCAGCGTGATGAGATCCTGTTAGCCAACAAGAAAGACTTGGAGGAGGCAGAGGGTAAGGACCACTCAATTTGGAGTCAATGTTACGGAGGGTTTGGTTTTGGTTTTTGTTTTTTGTTTTACTAATAATTCTTACAGTGTAGTCTGCCTAAAGACAAGATTGTTACATGGGGCACCTGGGTGACTCAGTTGGCTAAGCGTCTGTCTTTAGCTCAGGTCATGATCTCATGGTTCATGGGTTTGAGCCCCACATCAAGCTCTGCGCTGTGTGGAGCCTGCTAGGGATTCTCTCTCTTACTCTTTCTCTGCCCCTCCCCTCCTCATGCTCTTTCTCTCTCTCTCTTTCTTAATAAATAAATAAAAACTTTTAGGAATGTAAAAAAAAAAAAAAAAAGATTGTTATAGAAGAAATTTTATATTATGCATCATTTTTATTAAAGGCAGCTTGCTAGTATTCAAATTATGCATACCATCTCCAGCTCCTTTCCCAGATGCTCTAGTACAGCCCTCCAAAGGAGCTTTTTCTGTACCCACAGGTCATGAGCCATGGATACTATGGCAGTTTCAGGACAAAAAAGAAAAATACTAAGGACTGTTTTAGACATTTCACTAATAGCAGCCAACACCTAAGTAAGGCCTTTCTGTGTGAAGAAATCTTTGATGATAATCTTATACAGTTCTTTAAAGTAAAAGAATTAAGACCCACTGAGGTTAAAGCTGTTGCTCAAGGTCACACAATTAGTTATTGGCAGAAGTCTGACTTCTGACCTCAGTTCTGTCTCTCTGGAAATTCATAAGGACGCACAGTGGCTTACGAACGAAGTCCTGGCTATGCATGAGCATGGTGGTCCCCTTTGACTTGCTAAGTCCTTTTTAGGAAATTTATCATAAGAAACTATTTCAAGAAGAGAAAACTGCTCTGTATGTAAAGATTCTTGGAGCAGGGTTATTTATCACACTGAAAACTGGAAACAACCTCAGTGTTTAACAGCATAGGTCTGGTTAAATGTGTTAAGCTGTGTCAACTCAGTGGAGTATGTAGTAGTAATTACAACAGTTTTGGCAACATGGAAAGCAAATATGCATTGTGAGGTGGAAAACTAGAATGTAACATTTAACATGCACTGTGTTTGAAACTTGATATTAACACATAGGGAAAAGTGAAGAAAACAGATTGATATAATTGGTTGGTAAAATGATGATTCAGCTTTTTTCTTAATATAAGGTAGGTTCCTCCTTTCCTAAGTAGAAAACTTTGTATTATTTTATCTTGGTGGGTGTGACTATAAAAAAGAAAGAAATTTTTCATCATCTCATTTCAACATTAACCATAGTAATGATTTGTGATATGTGATTCCACACGATTTTCCCTGGTACATATACATGTGTATATATGAATATGTGTGTGTGTGTGCAGAGAGAATCACACCATGCAAACAGTTGTATTTAAATTTAAAGAAAATTCTGAATATGAACTTACCATTATTAGGAGCACCTTGGTGGCTCCGTTGGTTAAGCATCCAACTCTTAATCTCAGTTCATGTCTTGATCTCAGGGTCATGAGTTTAAGCCCCATGTTGGGCTCTACACTGGCCATGAAGCCTACTTAAAAAAAGAAGAAAAAAGTGAACTTACTATAATTCTATTTAAGTTTTTATTTCAAAAGGAAACATCTTTATTGCTTCTGATTATAAAAATAAGGCAATCGTTATAAAACATTAAAATAATGCAGAAAGAGATCATCAGTGTTCTTGATGGCTTCCAGACATCTCCACATGCATATATGCAATATTTGTTAAATAGGATATTATCATACATGCTCTTTTGTAGTTTATCTTCTTCAAAAACTATATCCTGGACAGCTTTCCATGTCAGTACATATAGATATTTGTAATAACTGCCTGGTAGTTCATTGTCTAAATGTTTAAGCAGAATTTGATTTTATTATGTAAATACTGTGACAAGTATCCTCATTACATGCAAGTTTGCTCATGCGAATGACAAATTTCTGGAATTGAATTTGCTGGCACAGAGGGTATTGGTGTACATACCTTTACGTGTGAAATACACTGCCAAAAGCCCCCTAGAAAAACTAAGTGGCATGTCATTGTCTTCTCAAGACCCGCTAAATTCGTGTCTGTTCCTAACACAGTGCCGTGTGTTCGGTAAAGCAGCTGCAGCCTGTCCAGAGCCACTCCTTTATCATGTGTTCCTCACACCTCTTCAGGGAGACTCGCAGCTCCTCTGCTGAAACGTTTGAGCCTCTCCACATCTAAATTGAACAGCCTGGCCATCGGTCTACGGCAGATCGCAGCCTCCTCACAGGACAGCGTGGGGCGTGTTTTGCGTCGAACCCGAATTGCCAAAAACTTGGAGCTAGAACAAGTGACTGTCCCAATTGGAGTCCTGCTGGTCATCTTTGAGTCTCGCCCAGACTGTCTACCCCAGGTATGTGCCTGCTATTGGGGTAGGGGAAGAATATATTTTCAGGACCCAAAATCTTCCAAAGATGGTTTTCTTTTTTTCTTTTTTTGGTGAGAAGTTCTTATCTTTTTTTCTCCCCCAGAGATAAGTTTTTGAGACTTCTCAGGTGGTTCTTAAAGTAATTTATGTTATTGATTCTTCCAGTGATTCTAAAGTAGGTATTCATATGTCCATTTTATAGTTGAAGAAACTGAAGCTTATAGAAGTTACTATTCCTGTCACACTTATAACAGATGCATCTTCCCTAGCACAGTGCAGGAGCACATTTCTGTATGTCTTCACTCACTGGGGCACTGTGTTCCCTGACCACAGAACCCCTGCTAGCTTACTGCAAGGTCATTCATCTTGTAGCTGGTTTTCCCCATGTGAAAAAGACCCCTTTGTTCTCACTGTCACAGATGGCCTCCTGTAGGTAAATCTCTCAGGAAGAAGAACTTCCAGTAGTTAATGAAAACTAGAATGCAACCCTCTTTAAGGAATTTGACATATTACAGGCTAATGTTGAGAAATCATGTGTTTAAAAGATTTTTTCCAAGAAGCCATGCCTTGATACAGGGTGGCATTAGAGGGTTGTCCCACTGGTTACCCTAAACACTTTAAAATTTGGGGACAATTTTCCCACCAGACTGACCAGTAGGATGATACCAGCTTTTTCTTTTCACTAGCCTCAAAATCTCAAAGAGAATATCTATTTAAAAACATAAAACAGGGGTGCCTGGCCAGCTCAGTCAGTAGAGTGTGCAGCTCTTGATCTCGGGGTTGTGGGTTCAAGCCCCTTGTTGGGCATGGAGCCTACTTAAAATAAATAAATGAATATCTAAAGAAAAACAAAACAAAAACAGCACCTCTTTGCCATAGGGCACAGGGTGAGCACAGGAGCCTGAAATGCTTTGTGGTAAATATTCCCTGACATGACCTAAAACCAGATTGTTCACCCCATACCACGGGGTCTGTCCTCAGCCCCTGGTGGGTGCTGGCACACTGCCCCCTCTGGCCACACACCTGTTTGCAGAAATACCAAGTGAAAACTGTAGAACCCGAATCTGCTAGTAGGAATGAGTATGTGATGTTTTTTTGCTGCCTTTCATCTGTACTAACGGATACTTCACGTGGAGAAAGGTTTCTTCTCTAGCCAACTACAGCTCATGTTCTTCACCTGGGATCTTAACTCTGGATGGCATCACAGAATCCATGAATTGTAAAAAAATTGTATGCAGTTCTGTGTGCTAGTGCATTTATATAGAGAAGATTTACATTACTTTTTATAAGGGGTCCATGAGCAACAAAACCAATAAAGGATTAAGAGCCACTAATTGAGATTAACATGCTCAGGCAAGGTTTTTTAGTAAAGTTCCTTTTATTACATTATAAAAATGGGAAGATTTTCATTCATCCCAAGAACATTCAGAAAGTTAAACTTCAGGGGACTCCTGGGTGGCTCTGTCAGTTAAGCATCCTAGACTCTTGGTTTCGCCTCAGGTCATGATCTCGCAGTTCATGAGTTCGACCCCCACATTGGGCTCCATGCTGACAGTGCAGAACCTGCTTGGGATTCTGTCTCTCCCTCTCTTTCTGCCTTTCCCCCACGTGTGAGTGCATGCGTACTTTCCCTCTCTCTCTCTCTCTCTCAAAATAAATATATAAACTTTAAAAAAAAAGTTAAGCTTTAGGCCTTAGATAATCAGGTCAGAGTCATTAATTCTGCTTTAAGAGGGTAACTAACCCTCCTCCTGGGTGGCCTGCTTTTTCACTGGAGTATTTCTGCAAACAGGTGTGTGCCCAGAGGGGGCAGTGTGCCAGCACCAGCCAGGGGCTGAGGACAGATCCCGTGGTATGGGAGTCCTTGGTGAACAAGCTGGTTTTAGGTCATGTCAGGGAGTATTCACCGCAAAGCATTTCAGGCTCCTGTGCTCACCCTGTGCTCCCTGCTTGTGCTCCTTTCCCAGAAATCTCCACCACAGCTTGTCCAGGGTCTGACGGGTCTCTAGTCTGCTCCAGGTTCTCAGCACCAACATTTAGAGCTCTCAGAATAGTTACAGGGCCAGAGGAAGATGTGGCCAGAGAGGCCACCCAGCCTCAGCCAGAGGCAGCTAAGCTCCCTGTCCTCCACCAGGGCCCAAGTGGGGAGGGGGCCATGTGACGCTGGCCACTTAGGTTACTTTGCTAATGGTGCTAAGGAAGCTGTATAGTTTAGTTCCTGAGATTGGGTGCTTTGGCTCTGGAGTCAAGACTTCTGGCCCTGCCAGTTATAAGCTATGAGACTTTGGGGAGTCACTAACTTCTCTGGGCTTCAGTGTCCTTATCTGTAAAGCAGGAGATAAAACAAGTATTTAATTCATTGGGATATCATGAAGTTTGAACAGATTAGGCCTTATAAGGGCCTAATGACAGGCCTTATAAAAGTGCTCAGCAAACACTGTTACTATATTATATAAAAATCACTATAGTATATAAAGTGCTCTGTGAATGCTGTTATTATTACTGCGTTTTCTCTTTGGTTCACTGCTGTCTCCCCTTTGATCTGCAGGTGGCAGCCTTGGCTATAGCAAGTGGTAATGGCTTATTACTCAAGGGAGGGAAGGAGGCCACACACAGCAACCGGATTCTTCATCTTTTGGCCCAAGAGGCCCTCTCAATCCATGGAGTCAAGGAGGCCATACAGCTGGTAGGTCCCTGGGAATGAGCCACATCAGACCCAGAGGGGTTCAGTTTGGCGTTTGGGTGTTTGAAGCAAAGCTTACGTAGGTCACGTAAGGCCAAGCCATTTTTATAGGCAAGCTTGACCGGAACAGGGGCTTCCTGGTCCACATGGGTCTTTAGTGGCTTAGTGATTTAGGGCAAGTCAGATGAGACAGATTTTATGAAAGTTTGTCATAAACCATTGTGCAGCATGTAAGAATGAGGTCATGCTATTATCATTATTGTTATTATGCTCATTATTTTAACCACTGTCTCACTCTCCTCAGTCATCAGGTGGAGTTTTTGAACTAGACAGTAGTAGGTACAGCTTACTGAAAACTTGCTGTGGGCAAGGCAGTTTCCGTCCGTTGTCTCATTCAGTCTTCACATAACCCATAACAGGAATGTGCCATCAGAACGAGGGGGAAAAACAGGCTCAGTGGTGAAAGTAACTCACCTAAAATCACGCAGTCTGTTGTAAAGTTTACATTTGAACCTGGGCTAATTGCAGATCCTTCTCTTTCTCCATCAAGGCCTACTTACTCTGACATTCCAGGATTCTGCTGGTTGCTGGGGCAGTGTTTATAAACCCACTGCATTACGTGCCCCATAACAGGAATTGGGTTTTTTTGTTTTTTTTGTTTTTTGTTTTTTTTATGGCACCACAGGGGGTGGAAAGGGCACAGATTTTAGGGATTCAGATCCCAGCTCTACCACATCCTACCTTAATCAGACAGGTTTCCTCCCACCCCCACCCCTCTTCCTATTGATGTATAACATCCATACAGTAAAGTATACAGATCTTACCTGAAAAACTCTGTGACTTTATCCAAATATCCCCGTACACACATACGTAGCCACCAGCCATATCCAACTGTGGAACACTTCTAGCACCCCAGAAGGCTCCCTTGTGCCCTTCCTGATCAGTATGCCCCACCACCACCAAGTAGCCCCTTACTTACTTCTTTCACATTCACCTTTCGCTTATTCTTGAACTTCATTATAAATGGAATCATACAAAATACACTCTTCCGTGTTATGTTTCTTTTGTGTATCTTTGTGTCTGTGAGAACCATCCATATTGTTACATCCAGCAGTAGTTTTCTCTTTTTATCACCATGTGGTATTCCATGTATGTGTGTATACTGCAGTTATCCTTTCTTTTGTTGGCTAACTTTTGGGTTGTTTCCAGTTTTGGGTTATGCAGAATAAAATTGTTACAAACGTTCTCATACATATGTATTTGTGTTTCTCCTGTAAATAACATGACCATATGGGTGAATTAAAAATCAAGAGGAAGAGAAAAGGCCATCATCATCTCAGTGTCCTGAAACCAGGGCTTCACCCCAGGGGAGAGCTTGTCAGCGGCACCCGTGGAGAAGCAGGACTCCTTAGCAAGACCCAGCCGGTCCTGAAGGCTGTGGTTGGAGAAGCCACAGGGCAGCACCTCCATTGTGATCCTCCTGGCCAGCCATAATCTGTAGCTCCTCTGACTTCCAGAGGTAGCACTTGGTACCTTGGTACCATTTTGAAAATTATCTGCCCTGAGTTGCAGTGTGTTGTGTCCTAGTCGTATCTTTCCTGCTAGACTCTGAGCTCTTAGACAGCTGGGACATGTCCTCCTGTTTTGTAATGCAGAGCACAGCACCTAATGTGTAGTGTTTGGTTAAGTATTTGGTAGATGATATCAGGACTCTTACTTTTGGAATAAGTTTTCACAGCACCTGATTTAGTTCTCCTGAGGTACAGACTTTTGTACAGACTTTTATCCGTAAAAGGGGTGCTGCTACTTTGTATTTCATGAGGTCAGATGTCATTTTTCTGTTTTTATTCTCTACCTCTTCAGGTGAATACCAGAGAAGAAGTGGAAGATCTTTGTCGCCTAGATAAAATGATAGATCTGATTATTCCACGTGGCTCTTCCCAGCTGGTCAGAGATATCCAGAAAGCTGCTAAGGGGATCCCGGTGATGGGACACAGTGAGGGGATCTGCCACATGTATGTGGATTCAGAGGCCAGCGTCGATAAAGCCACCAGACTGGGTGAGCTAGATGGGGCCTCTGCTGTGTGCAGGCAGAATATTTAGCAGATCCTCTGTGACTTGGGAGCATGTTAATAGAAACAATTATTTGTCTTCCTTCTTTCAGTCCGAGACTCTAAATGTGAATATCCAGCTGCCTGTAATGCTTTGGAGACTCTGTTAATTCACCGAGATCTGCTGAGAACACCATTATTTGACCAGATCATTGACATGCTGAGAGTGGAACAGGTACAAGTCCACAGGACTCCTGTGTCCCTTCCTGTCTTCCATTTTGAGATATAGAAGCCTGTGGGTAGCTGCCTTACCATTTAAGGCAATTTAAGAAGCAATACTTTTGAGCATCTGCTGTGTACGGAGTTCTGTGCTAAGTACACAGAGAGGAGTAAAACCTATCCCTGCCTTCTCACAGTCTAGTAGATAGAAGAAACCCATGCTCACATAGCTGTATTACAAAGTGGAATGTGGTAAGTGCTAAGAGAGGTCAAAGATAAGACAGATCACATGGCAGCCCACTAAAAGGACTGTTTCTGGAACCATTTATTCAGGCGGCATAGTTTAAAGTTTATGTTTCTGAACACGCGTTTCTGTTGGATTTGGTTTGAAAAGATTGCACAGAAAAGTTTTCAAACCAGAAATTTATGTGTCCACCTTGCCACTAGGGCCTTCAATTAACCAATATTAATGTACTTAATACAGTGGTATTTGGGAGTCCACAATTTGTATGATGTTCTCTCTGGAATATTTTATTACCATTCCATTGAGGTTATAAAAACCAGTGCCAGTAAGTTTCACACAAGTGTATGTTCCATCTTAAATTCCTAATTGCACAAAAAAAAAAAAAAAAAAAAAAAAAAAAAAAAAAAAGATGCTCTCCAGGCAAAAATGGATAGCCTTAAGCTTTCTGGCAGAACACATTGTAAGCTTTAATATCTGATGCCATGGCACCCTTTCAGAATTATGTAAATAAACACAGTATCTGGATAAAGTGGCTGCTGGCCTTGGTTGCTTTGACCCTGAGTGTGTGTCACTTCCCTTTCATCCTTTAGCTGGAAAAGAAGGCTCTAGTCAGCTTGTAAATGGACATGGTCCCTGTGAGAACCTGAAAGGATTGTTTTGAAAATGAAAATACACCACAAATTAAAATGGGGTCAGATCACATGATCACTCATGTTTGGAGCCTTACTTGACATTACTGGCACCTATGTATGCCAAACACCACACTGGACTGGGCTGGACTAGACAGGAGGAAACTCTCCTTTAGCCAGGAATAAACCCCTCCAGTCCTGATTGAGACACAAACCTATGATATTCTTAGTCATTCAAGTCAAGATTGCCTTGAAATTCCTCAGATCAACATCAGTCAATATGTGTACCTCATCTTTGTGTTGCGGGAGGTAAACCAGCAGGGTGACTTGCCCAGAGTGAGGGCTCAGGGATGGGTTTCCTGTCCACGAAGAAGGTGGTTGGACCCTAGGCCCGGAGAAAGTGGAGTTGCAGGTAGAAGGGCCTCAGGAGCAACAAGAACAGGACATGCTCTGCTTGTTGTAACTTGAGCAAAGGCAAAAGCTTGGTCCCAAAGAACCAAGCCATGGGAGGTCTCAGAGAGTGAAGCCTAAGTGGGATCAGACTTATGACTGGGGCCTTCAGTGACCAGTCTCCAGTTCTTAAATTCCTCCAGCCAGGAGCAGGATGGTGCTGAGCTGAGCCTAGAGCTGGGGCCTGACTGACAGAGTTGGAAATCTGACAGGTAACCATGGTTTGAGGCGGTTGGTTACCAAGTGCTCTTTTCCTCTGCAGCACAGTTAGGACTTATCCAGAGAGAAGGGAGTAGAAATATATACAGGCCATCTCCTCCTTTCCATGTGAGTCCAAGACTACGTGTCCCGTATGCGGGGAATGGGATTTTTATAGCCAAGTGTTCATCTTAGTAAGATGCCAGCAGTCAAGGCTTATGTCAGTAGCCTGTTAAATGCCTTGCACATTCTTAACATTCAAAGGCTTCCTGCTTAAATCGCTGCTCCAGTTTTACTGAAGGCCCATTGCTGGCAAGTGGCCAGTCAGCATTTTCGAAAGCAGAGCATCCTGGAGGGTGGTGGGCTGCTCCTAAAAGGAAGTCGAAGGCTGGTTTAGTTGTCCAGGCCACGGCAGCCATGGGCTCCTCCCCTGCAGGCTCATCTGGCTGTTTGATTCTAGACGAAGAAGAGTGAACTGACTGACTGCTCTTGGGTTTATATTGTTACCTCTCGACTTCCTCTGTTCCAGGTGAAAATTCACGCGGGCCCCAAGTTCGCCTCCTATCTGACCTTCAGCCCCTCCGAAGTTAAGTCCCTCCGAACTGAGTATGGGGACCTGGAATTGTGCATTGAAGTGGTGGACAGCGTCCAGGAGGCCATCGACCACATCCACAAGTATGGCAGCTCGCACACAGATGTCATCGTCACGGAGAACGGTCAGTGTGCGTGTGCACACGTGCTTCAAGTGTGCAGCACCTGCTTTTTCTGCTTTGGTCTCCGTGGGGTCCAGCACCTCTCAGCCCTTCTGGCTGCAGGAAAGCATAGTCTGAATACACTAATGATAATACCTGGCGTTGGTTGGATTCACGGGTCTGCTGCGTGCTCTCACATCTGCCACATTATATTGTCACAGCAGCCCCAGGGGAGGAGGTGGGGAAGAGATGGTTAGCTCCACTCTGAAGATGACTCCCTCTGTGTCAAGGTATTACCTTTGAACTTCTACAGCAGTCTTTCCGGGTTATGGGAATAAACCCATTTACAGCTGAGGAAACCTAGGCTCGGGAGGTTAAGGGCAGAAGCAGCTCACCACACTCATTCACTCCACAGATAAGTACTGAGAGATACACGTAGGTGTCAGGCACTGGAGGCCCAGCAGTAAAGGCAGCCAGTGGTAAATGGCCTCCTCCGAGGATCTACAGACGGTTTATTGGGGAATCACAACACCACCAGTTTGAATAGCTGACGTTTACTGAGCACTTACGTGTGCTAGGCTCTGGGATGAGTGCTTTGTGGATGCCAAGTCATTTTATTCTCTATACAACCCTATGAGCTAGGTAATATTGCCAGTCTGCATTTTGCTCTGGCACAGAGAGCTTCAGAAACCTGCCCCAGGGTCACCCAGCTATTGAGTGTGGAATTGGAATTCAGACTTAGGCATTCTCACACTGGAGCCTATAAATAATATAGTCAGGCCGTTGCAGCATCAAGGGTATGTCTACAGGGGGAGATCTGGACTCCAACCCAGTCTTTCCCAGGCAGTTACTCTTTCCATAACAGGGACTGATGAAGCTGGTTAACCTTCTTCCTCTTTAGATTTTTTACAACCCTGCGTGTTTAATGTGTGGAGAAGCTCTTCAGGGGCCTGGCCCCAGCCCCAATCAGTCACCAGTGCATGACTGGAAGGAGGGATGTTCTCCATGGGTTGGTCACCTTAACTCGGTTTCTTCTCTTTATGCTGCAGAGAAAACAGCAGAGTTCTTCCTCCAGCACGTAGATAGTGCCTGTGTGTTCTGGAATGCCAGCACTCGCTTCTCTGATGGCTACCGCTTTGGACTGGGTAAGAAAGATTCTGGTCAGGAGAGAAAGGAGACCCTTTGTGAATCACTATGTGGTACAAAGAGCATAGTGAGGGTGGAGGAGACACCTCTGCTTTACAGTCACATGCTTGATCAAGATGATAGGGACAGAATTGTGGGAGGGAGGTTGATGAGAAAGAATAGTAACAACAATGAGCCAGGAGAAGTCCTGTCTGTAAGCATTTTGCATGCTAAGAAGGTAGGTATTTGTCTTTTCTTTTTCATAGTTCTTTGAGATTAAGAGAAGTGAAGTAACTTGCCCAAAGTCACCCAGCTGTCTTTTAGACCCAAACTTGGGGGCGCCTGGGTGGCGCAGTCGGTTAAGCGTCCGACTTCAGCCAGGTCACGATCTCGCGGTCCGTGAGTTCGAGCCTCGCGTCAGGCTCTGGGCTGATGGCTCAGAGCCTGGAGCCTGTTTCCGATTCTGTGTCTCCCTCTCTCTGCCCCTCCCCTGTTCATGCTCTGTCTCTCTCTGTCCCAAAAATAAATAAACGTTCAAAAAAAAAGAAAATTTAAAAAAAAAAAAAAAAATAGACCCAAACTTGTACAAGTCCAAAGCCTGGGTTGCTCCCACTACTGTATGGCAGACCACAGCATGTCCACATGCACAGGTTGTGACAGGTGTACATGCCAAGGTCTCTCAAGAGCACTGCTGTGGCAGACTTATTGCTTCAAAGAGACGTAGCCAGGTTGCCTGAGAGTGAGGAGTTCCCCATGAGGACAGGACATAAGAAGGGTTAATACGTATGCTGGGCATCGGAAATAAACAGGTGAGCCCAGAGGTGCAAGGGTGACTTCTAAAACAGACCTCTGAAATAAAAAGCTTCAGAAAGACACCCTCTCCCCTTCTGTTTAGAAATAAAACCTCCAGGGGCACCTGGCTGGCTTAGTCAGTGGAGCATGCGACTCTTGATTTCCGGGTTGGTAGTTCAAGCCCCACATTGGTATAGAGATTACTTAAAAATAAAATCTTTAAATTTTTTTTTTTTCAACGTTTATTTATTTTTGGGACAGAGAGAGACAGAGCATGAACGGGGGAGGGGCAGAGAGAGAGGGAGACACAGAATCGGAAACAGGCTCCAGGCTCTGAGCCATCAGCCCAGAGCCCGATGCGGGGCTTGAACTCACGGACCGCGAGATCGTGACCTGGCTGAAGTCGGACGCTTAACCGACTGCGCCACCCAAGCGCCCCAAAAATAAAATCTTAAAAAAAAAATTTTTTTTAATAAAAAGAAAGAAAATCTCTATTCCCCAGTATAAGGATTTTTCAGTGTCTGGTTTTCAGGGGTGCCATTATACAGAGCTCCAGTAAGGCATTTATGACACATCTGAGCATTATTTCAACACTGAAAATAAAACATTTTAATCTTTCTGAACTCTTAAATAGATGATCTGCCTAGAGAAGTACTTCTCATTGAATTACAGAAGGTAGTTAAAGAGAATTTTACTCAGTTATTCTTAATCATTAGACCCTTTATCATTAATTGCCTGTTTCTGTTATGTTGGGCTTTTGATTTAATTATATCAGTTGCACTGATATAATTGTATTCCATGTTATTGGAAGAAGAAATAGCAGCATACTTTCAAGGACTGAGGTGTCCAGGTTTCAACTGAAAGCCCACGATAGCGGAGAGCAAAAGTCCATTGTCTTTCCATCACCTACGTAGAGCAAACACTCAAACGCTGGTTGAGTTAAATTCTTATGAAGTGCGTTGATAACAGTGACAGGTGATGTTTATTGAGCATTTACATATTCCTTGCACTGTGCTAAGTATATCACATGCATTGTCTCACTTAGTTCTACATGACAGATTCTATTATTTTCCTCATTTTCCAAGTGAATTGAAGCACGAGAGACAGGCAACATGCCCGACGTCATGAGGTCTCTATGCTATTAAAGCAGAATCTGAATCCAGTGGTCACATGGTCCATGCCAGCCACCACCCCCAAGCACATCCCCACTCAGGTGTCTCTGCCCCTGCTGGTCTCTGCCTGTACCACCTCTCCACCTGCCCCTCCCCTGCCCATCTCCTTGTCACTGTTCAGCTTTTGGAGGCTCTCCCTAACCACTCCACCTGTGTGAAGGCCACCCTGCCCACATGGTCTGTCACAGCACCCTTCCCTGCACTCCCATCACCACATGAAATCATTTGCTGAACCGTTCTTTGGCTGCCTTGCCCACAAAAGTATAAGCTCCATGAAAACACCACCTCATGTCATTTATTCACCACTGCCTCCCCCAGGCCCAGCACGGTGCCTTGTACATAGTACTTGCTCAGTAAAGTTGTGACACACAAGGGAACCCTGCCTCCACTGTGTACCATGCAGAACGCCCACCTAGACTCAGGAAGACCCTTAATGCCCAAAGTCTAGGCCTAGAACAAGAGAGAAGGAAAATGAGCAGCCACCTCTTGTGTATTCAGTAACTGTCAAATGAGTACATGTGCTAAGAATTCTGGGGGATACTGAGAACATGTCCCTTACATTCTGGAACTTAAAGTTTGGGGGAAATGTTTTTCATCTTTATACTGGACATTGTTGTATACCTCAAAAAATGCCCAAATGTCAAATTGTGATACATAGTCCAGACCTATGTCTGGATGATACCAGAGCCAGCACTCCTAGTCTTGTCAAAATGCATTTGGGATAAAAGTGCACAAAAGAGGCCCACACAGTGTGTTTCATTAGGAGGGGACTCCATTGTGATTCATAGTAACCAGAGAGCACATTGACAGGGACCATGGAACTCAGGCGGGTCTGGGGAGGATGGAGTGGGCAGGGCGAGAGGGTGCCAGGTTGGGAGAAGAGAGAGCTGTGGGTCTGGTGGACGGACAGGAAGCGGAGGCTGGGGAAGCCGCAGCCTCATCCGTGCTTTTTCTCAGGAGCTGAAGTGGGCATCAGTACGTCACGGATCCACGCACGGGGACCAGTAGGATTGGAGGGACTGCTCACTACAAAGTGGCTACTGCGGGGGCAGGACCACGTGGTCTCCGATTTCTCTGAGCACGGAAGTTTGAAATATCTTCATGAGAACCTCCCTGTGCCTCAGAGAAACACCAACTGAGAAGAGCTGGGAAGGATTCAAGAGGTCTTCACAGTTAAGATGGTCTTAAGCATCTCGTCATGTCCTGGATGAGCCAGGTGCCATCTCCCTCTTCCTAGAAGGGTCTGCCTCTGGGAAAGTGTACCACGAAGCTTTTGGGCTCAGTGTGACAACACCGCTCTTGGCTAACGCGCGTATTCCAATTCACCCTTCTCTACGTTAGAAAATAACCACCATGGACGGGGACTTTGCTTCTCACAGTCCAGTTCCCTGCAAGGATAGAAGCAGAAAGGTGCAGCTTCCCCCCATAAAAGGCAATGGAAAATCATGGCCACTTTTACCTTTTTATCGCCTCAATGAGGTAATGTCTCCCCTGGCATTTGGTTGGCGCTAGAGCCCATCACACCTAATATGTCTTTCCACATTTCATTTCTTCACGCTTACAGTCCGTTTCAGAAAGGAAAGATTTGGAATTTAGAAGAGGGGCAGCTCTCCTTTTTGGCATTCTCATCAGAAACAGTTGCAAAAATGGACTGAATCATTTCCACCAGGAAGATTGACTTTTTGTATTTATTGTGGAGTAAATCTACGGAAGCATTCCAGATGCTCACCCCTGTCCAGACCCAGAGGACCCGGCGTTACCCAGAATGCAGTTGGAACCTGGAGCTGCGAGTCCCAGGAAGAAGTACCTATAGCAATCATGCTTGAAATTTTTATATGAATTACTTTGTCTCCTGCCCTTTCCCTCCAAAACAAAAATTAAAGGGTTATTTTAATACTTTGGATTCCTCCCCCTTTTTGAGAAATAAAGTTCTTATGAAAAGCCTGTGTGCATGGTTAACGTTCTCGTCCTTACTTGTCGTTGCCCTCTTCTTCCTCTGCCCTCCCCGTGGTCCTCACACCCTGCTGTTATGCACTGGCTCTTCTCTGGAAGTTGGTTGGAGAGAGTCCATCTGCTACATGTGTCAATGGAGGCGGTACAGGCAGATCTCAGGACGGACCCAGACTGAGAGAGGGGGAAGGAAAACAGGAGATGGAGCCCAGGAGCATAAGGACTGAAAACGGGAAGGACTGAAGAGCGGCTACGTACGGCACAGATGTGCTGCCATTGTGCCAAGGTCCACACAGCATCCACTTGGCCACAGCCCCAGCCAACATCCTTAGTTCACTTTGGATGACCCTCCCTCCCTCCATCTAGCTCCTGTTTTATTAGGGTCCCTGGTGCCTGATGGTCTGCAGTTGAAAGCTTTCTTGTCTCGTGGGGGTCCTCCCAAAGAAATACGCACTCACTTCTATGCTTCTTATCCTCTGAGGATGTCTTATGAGCACAGGAATTACAGTGTCGTGTGGAACATGTTCCCAGACTCATTCCAAACTCTACTTCACATCCAGACCCTTAGATGGTCTGGCAAGCCACCCTGCCTGCCCTGCCCTCTGAATGGGGAATTCTGGCATAGCTTGCCTGAAAAGGCAATAAACAAAGTCCTGCTTAACTGTATGGCAAATACCACAATCAGCTCCCATCCAGACAACAAATACCCCTGGAGTCAAAAATAGAAAGTGACCCAAGAAGGCCAGGGCCCTTGGGGAAGACTCCACTGAGGAGGCAGGCCTGGATCTGGGCCCTGCGCAAGATGAGTCACAGGAGTAAGGAGTGGGCAGGGCATTCAGGCAGGGGACTGGTGCAGGCAGAAGTCCAGAGCTAGGGATGGAACACAAGTCTGGAGCAGCGAATACGCTGACGTGGGGCAGGAGTTCGTGCGGTGTACAGAAAGGTGTTCTGTCCCAGGCTGCTGAGACGGGTACAATCCCGAGGGGAGCTGCCCTTCTTAGGGCAGGGCATGGGAATGGGGTTTGGGCTGGAAAACACTGGTAAAGCCCAGTCATCCAACAAGGCCATTTCCCCTGTGGAGCAACCTCAGGCTTGGTCTTTTTCTCCAGAAGCCATGAGCAGACTGCATTCTCCCATTTTCAACCCAAAGTGAAGAGATCGCCAAAGGAGGATTGGGAGGCAGCCAGAGCCTCGCAAGTACCCCCATCTAGGCAGTCTTCAGTACTTAATTGTTTGGCTTTTATTCTGAAATCCCTCCTGTGGGCCTTCCGTTTTCCTGGCTACCAACTCCTGACAACAAACAGGCTGTTGAAACAACCAGTTCTGAAGCTCCCACCTCCCCCACCAATGGGGAAAAAAAAGCCCTCTGGGATAACAAATGTTCTTCAAGCCAAGTTTACTTGAGTTTAGGGTTTCTGTTAACAGCCAAAAGTATGTCAGTGATACAGTATATACATAGATTATGTGGCATTTAGAAAAGTATTTAGATGGAGAGAAAGGTGGGCAGCCAGGGACTAGATTATAGTAAGTGTTATTTGTCTGCTGTGTATCCCTTATTTTGTGGAATCATCTCCTCCTGCATTTTGCAGTAATCCCACTCAGTCTCTGTGATTCAGGGGAGGTTAATGCTGATCTGTCCCTCCCCCCGCCCCCAACCTCACTATTTTTAGTGGCAGTCACATGGTTCTGATAAGTCAGAGTACTCTGTTTCCCTGCTTATACTGATTGCTTCAGGACTGGGCATATGATGATTTAAACTTGGCCAAATGGCATGCTAGTAGAACTAAATTTTTACTGCACTTATTAGGAAAAACAAATTGTCCTCATCCTTCCGTGTAGAGGAAAGTATCCAACACAGGAAAGGGAACCAGGGGATAAATAGAGACTTTGCCCACCTGGTTTCATCAGTGCCTGAAATCCACCACTGGACTCAATGATTTCCTTTTCTTTTGCTCAAGCTAGTTTGAATTGGGTTGAGTTTGAGTTTGAGTTCTATCCCTTTATCTTAGAAGACTCTGGATAAATACCCCTGTGTTCAGGGGCGCCCGGGTGGCTCAGTCAGTTAAGCATCCAACTCTTGATTTTTGGCTCAAGTCATGATCTCGCAGGTTTGTGGGATCGAGCCCCATGTTGGGCTCTGTGCTGACAGCTCAGAGCCTGCTTGGGGTTCTCTCCCTCTCTCTCTGTCTGCCAGCCCCCTCTCAAAAGTAAATAAACACTTTAAGAATATATATATACCTGTGTTCAAATCCCTGCTTTGCCACTTATTAAACAAGTGACTTTGGACAAGCTACTTAGGTTCTGGGAGCCTCGGTTTTCTGGGACTATAACATCTCCTATGTCATAGGTGGTAGCGTAAGTATTTGGCACAGCATGGACACTTAGCAAGCGCTCAATAGGCGCGAGTTGATCACTTGTGATATTTTTTTTGGGTGCCCAGCTATGGGCTTGGCTCTGTACTCCACAAGAAACCAGAATTTTCTCATGTTACTCATGAAGCAGTTTTCAGAAGCCAGACTTTCCCATCCCCGCTTTATCTGGTCACTGGAAGCCCAGCTTGCCCTCCACGTGAGTAAGGAGGAACAGCACTGAGCTTGAGATCAAACCTTTCAGTATGTAGAGCACATGGGCAGATGCTACTGAGAACAGTGTGAGCAGCAGAGACCTGATTTGGGGTCTGGGAAAGAGAAGGTGAATGTCATGCCCTGCCTGAAAGAAGAGGTGGTCCTTGTTTGTCCGAGAGGAGCAGGCCTGCTGTATGCAGGGGGTGAGAGCAAAGCAAGGGACCATGGGTCTCTAGACACTTAACACGTGAGTGCTGCAGTACAAAGTAGAATGCGTGCAGCGTGTGTGCTTCTGAACTAGAAATCCATTCCCAGATCTCCAAGCAAACACGAAGATTTTGCATATTCAGATGAATCCTCTGGCAATCTTGCCTAAGACTTTAATCAGGTCTCTTTTTTGACTCAGGGCAGTTGTTGATAGGATTACTACTCAGTTCTGTCTCTCAAATGCACCTGGAACAGACGTTTCTGGGTAGTATTTTGGGCCCTGTGTGGATAGTGCCCATGAGGCAGCAACTGTGGGAGTGTTTTCAGGTACAAGGACCTCAGTTCAAACTAGTTTAACAAAAGAAAGTGTATTTATTGGGTTATATGACTGAGGAAGTCGACACGTAGTTCAGATAGGATTTGATCAGGGTTTGGCTCTGTTTCTCTATAGATCTCTATAAATCAGTGGTTCTCACACTTGAGAATCTCAGAATCACCTGCAGTGTTATTAGAATAGATCACTGATTCAGTAGGTCAGGGGTAAGGGCTGAGAATTTGCATGTCTAATAAATTTCCAGCTCCTGCTGCCACCACCAATCCAAGAACCACACTTTGAGAACCACAGTTCCAGACATCTGCCAGCAGCAAGCTGGCTGTGTTGTGGGTTGGGGGATTGGGAGGTGGGAGGGGGCATCAAATAAAACTACAATCCAACAAAAGTCCTAAGCTCCACTCTTATTAAACTGGCCTGAATCCATCACTGTAGTAAATGTAGGAATTGAGTTGCATTGTCACAGGAAATCCAAACAACTGGGACTCGAACTTGATAGTTCATTTTTTGTGTCATGTAAGAAGTCTGGAGGTAGGCATCCCAGGGCTGAGGCTGAGGTGAAGGCTCCGTGATGTCATCAGGCACTCGGGCTCCTTTTGGTTTCTGCTCTTCCATCCTAGATGGAAGGCCTTCTTGCACATGATAGTGGTATCCCTACACTCGGTACTGTGTTCCAGATAGCAGGAAGGAGGAGGAACCTCAGGCAAAGGAGTATGTGCCAGCTGCCTCATCTAAGTGACTTTCCAGGAAGACCCATCCAATTGCTTGTCCAGAACTGGTTCATGACACCCCTCCTCACTTCTACAAGGGAGCTGGGAAGTGACTTTTTTACCTGGCCATATTGTAGCACCAAGAAGTAAGAGTCTATTGATAAGGAAGAAGGGAAATTAGGTAGGGGAGGAAAATTATCCTGATTCAGGGAACTGGAAGGGGGATCCATTCACCTAAACAACATGGCTGATAGGGAGGAACTGTTTCATGCAGCCATGTGGGCAACTCTAGCTGTAGGGGAGGTTGGGAAATACAGCTTTATAGTTGAGCACACTCCTACCTGAACAAAAATCAGGATCCTCTTCACAAGGAAGAG